AATGCCTGAAAATGACTGCCAGCTATTAGCTATACCATTCATCATTTAATATATCTTTCTCAGATCATATGCTGTTATTTCTATCCGTTGCAACATTCAAAGTGTCATTTGCTTATTTAAATCAATATCGGTTGATATAAATTCATTAACCTCTTTTGTAATTTATCTGCAATGACAATAGTAAAACCCTTTTATGTAGCAGGGCACCCACCAACCAGTTGAAATAGAAATACCCCTCTCAGGCAGCCCAGGACTTTCTAGAGACCGAACCCTTACACCACCCAGCTACTGTACCTGTGTTCCGCCTGCAGGAGTGCATTGTACACTTTCCACCCTAGCACTACAGTATGTGGCTGTTTCATAGTAAATATTTGAATTTTACTTAACTTGAATCTGGCTAGAGTATCTGAATAACCAGAAATATCTTTCTAGTGTGAGATACAAAGAATTGATTGATTGATTGGTTCGTTGGCTGAGTGGAGTGAGTTGTCTTCTGGCCTTTTCTGTTCTGTATTCACAACATGTAGGGTCACTTGCATTGCTAAGCGCCTTGGGGGCAACCTTGTTGTGAAAGGCACTATATAAAAATAAAATTGAATTGAATTGAGTAAACGATGTGTCAAGTATAACTTTGCTTTTTGGCACTGCTCATGACCTACCGCATTAATAAACGTATCAAGAAAGATTTTGATCTCCACACCGTTTTCCTTGATGTATACATGTAATACTTGTAGTATATTATGTGTACAAATACATACAGTATATGCAATTTATGTCATATGCATTATATGTACAGTATACTAAAACTGTGCTGATCTCAAACTGAAAATGATTTTGACACTGATGCAGTTGATGTTCACTGTGTTCCTTTAGGCAGAGAATTCATGACAGGAAAACCCAGTGTCACAGAAAAGGTGTTGTCTACTTCATAGCTTTTCCACTTTGGGCTTTCTTAAATGTTGAGTCTGCTATAACAGGTATGAAGGGAAAACTTTATAAAACTTTCTAAAATGAATACACGTAAATAACTGATATTTAATCTAATTATTTACACTCTTGTGATTGTGTCCAGTATATGTCAGAGTTAAGCATGCTGAACGATTTTGTAGGGAGACTGAAATGTTGACACTAGCTAGTAAGTGATAATGGCATCTGTTGCTTACAGCTATCTGTCAGAATGCTTGAATAGTTGCAATCTGGTGTCACATGCACTGTAGATACCCTGCCATATTTCTCAGTAATTAGTCCTGTATAGTAGTACAACCATACAAACTTTAAAACCAAAAATGCTTCTCTCCCTCGGCTGTCTCTTCCTGGGTGCTCTCAGCACAGTGCAACCTCGAATGGGTGTCCATGGAAGCAGTGTGAAATTGAATTGGAGTGGCCTGCATGGCGAATGTGACAAATGATTGTTTCTCCAAAAAGGAGAAGGTAGACAGATTGGATTACACAGATGATTGCATTTACGGTAATAGCGATGGCATTATCAATTTCCTTTAATAGAATTAAAACTTCAATTACCCAGGGCCCAGGGCACTCTGGCCCGTCCAAGGGCAGTGGCGTGATCGATGGAAGCTCGCTAGTGGGAAGGAAAGGCCCAGGAATCACCCGCTCTGAAATAAACACATTCGACACAATTTCTGGGGTCAGGTGTGGTTAAGGACTGACAGCGAGCCTGGCCTGGGAAAGAATCCACAGGCAGAACTGTTTCAAAGGGTTGTTATTTTTAATTTCACTGGTACTTTAATAACCGTGCTTAAATTTCACCTTTGTGAAGTTGTTAAGAAAAGTACTAGGTTAAGTGAGAATAAAATGTACTCATTTTAAATTCTGAAATAATAATTCAATATTATTATAGGTATTTTTGTTGTTATTGTAAGGAGGTATGCAGTAGCATGCAATATTACTGCTATAGAGGAAAAAGTGAATTCTCTTCTGTAAACAGTATAATAGTCACTAGGAGCAGGGACTTGTTAAAATATTTCAAATTCAGAATATTGCAGGTTTAGCGGAGCTAGTTTGGACACGGTGATGTCATCGCCCTCCATGCATGTAGCAGGGACCTCAGCTGTCTGGACTAGGGGAGGTCTCCTTTAGCTCATGCGGCTGGTTCCCTGTTGTGTTACACTGGAGACCTGGGTTGGCACTCCAGGTGTTGCGGGACGAAATGGGCAGGTGGAGTGGTGGAGGGCATGAGCCCACACAGAACCGTGAAGGTCACACAAATACTTGGTTAACACCCACCTCCTCCCTGGGCAGCTGGACAGCACTGAAGACACCTCTACAGCTTCAATGAAGTTTGTTTCTGATTCCTTCCACTTTAGTCTGCTTTATATCTGCTGTCACAACACGTTTTTATTTCTTTGGGCATTAGAGAGCTTGAAGAACATGGAATATCATTTGTTTTGCAACCAAAACTATAGATTTTGAACCATGCTTTGATGAAGTCAGTCCTCGGGAAATCTAGATTGGTTGTAATAGGGGCATAACACCATAACAGCAATTGTGAGTTTATCACAAACAGCTTGGGGGGACTACAGTATATGCAGCTTTTTTCAGATATTAATATGTCCTGATATGAGGGAACATTTCCACTTCCTGAAATATGGAATAAAAGACATCCCATAATGATTTAACGCAGTACAGCATGTTTCGGAAAGTGTGCAATGTCACTTACATTGCAGAGTAGTTAGCAACCCTATTTTCTAACCTGCAGATCTGTAACACAGGTCATTGATATGCTTGCAGCATGCTGATTCTCCCAGTGCAGCCTTACTGAACTACATTTAAGCAGTTAAGCAATAACTGTTTTGCTATATAGCGCTTTAAAACTTTAAAGTGAAACATGCAGCTTAATTCAAGATGGTAGTAAGGTTGTCAGCAGTACTGCTTTTCAGTTCCTCCCAGAGAGATGTGGGTTGGTGTAGTAACAGGAAGTGACTAACATCTACACAGAGCTACTGTGAATTGTAACAAATTATGTTTTGTCCATTCTCCTTTATGCAAAGACTTGAAGGTTTACTAAAGAACAGATTATTATTACCATTCTTTCTTTTGAGAAGTTGTGTCTCCAACGCATTTTGGACCTTCTTGAGTTGTTATTATTAAAACAGCAGTTACAGTCATAAAAAGTCTGCAAAATAAGCATCCTGTGATTGCAGGGCATGTCTTATTGGCCTTTGATTAGTCAGTTCAATATCTCTTTAATTGAAGCTATATACTCTGTAAACAAATGGCAGTACAGTATATGATTAAACCATTTCTTTGAAATGTAAACTAGCTGTATCTTATCATTTTCTCTTTGGCCTTTTCAAATCACATGGAACCTTCCATTAAATGTAATGAATATGTAGGGGGTTTTTCAGAGCCTCAGGACAGATCTGCATCAAATATTGTGACTGTAAAACCACACCACAAGCCTGTCTTGAATTTTGGTCAACAAGGTCTAGCTCATTGGTACCACTCCTTGCTTTGAAGTGCTCTGCTGAGAGGGAGGAAGAACTGTTACTACATTGTCCTTGAAAGCTCTTTGATAGAGGCTGCTAAATATTGATTAATATTTTCATTGGTTATAATGGATTTTAGTAATTAGTTTTTAACTAACCAAAAGAAACATTTTGCTATATTTTCAGGAAATACATTTGTGGATGTAAGTGCGCTTGCTGCAAGCAATGCGTCATGGAAATTTCTGCTGTTTTTGTAACCACAGTCCTGTGTACCATACCTTAATCACAGTAGTTATTTCTTACCTCTGCAAGCTTTGCTAGTATTCTTTGGCAAAGGGTGAACTTGTGCATGCTAACATTCTGCACGCAGTTCAGATACCGTGATATAGGTTTATTTCTGCTTTCATGTTCATCTTTTCGGTTTGTCTACTTTGATGAAATTGCTTTGTTGCAGGACCACATTTCCCACAGGGGGAAAACGCAAAAGACAGAAAAGGGTTTGAGGTTCTCCATCCAGAACTTTAGCATCTGATCACAGAGCTTTATGGAAGACAGCAAGAAACCGAAGGCTCTGGCCCTTTGTTTTTCTGCATCTTGGAAGGTGGTATTAGCTGTCAGTTACGAAGAAAAAGCTTTTGCTTCAGCTTTTGAAGGCTAGTTATTTTGTAGCCCTGTGTGTCTGAGGTCTTTACCTCAGAACAGTGGATTGCTCTGGTTTTGTAATTAACACCTTTCTGGGTAGGACAGTCAAATATATGAGGAATACAAACAATCTTCTGCCCCAAGTAAGCATGACGTTCCTGATGTTAAACTGTATTTTTCCGACAGTTTCAGAACATTTGGGATGCAGGCATTAACAACAGACAAATTGTCCTGAAGTGAATTGCCCCTCTTTTGGAATGTCAGAACATACTTCCAACATGTGTTTTCACATTTATTTTAAGTTTCTTGTGCTAACAGGCAAATAATTGTATGTCTTGGCTCTATCACACCCGTCTACGTGTCTGAAATCATAACCAAATCTTTCTGTCCTACGTTGCGTGTTCTGTGCCCCTGGGAACGGGGAAGAGGAGAAAGGTAGTCAGCATGCCAGCTTACATTTGAGTCTGGGGCTGCAGCTCTTCTTTAATCCCTTTGAAAGGTTAAGGTTTGATTAATGAGGAATATTACTTCCTGTCTAAAAGGCCTGCATATAGTAAATCTGTATCATATGATGGTGACTCCATTCACCAACTCAGAAACACTTTCTCCTTCACTGAAAAGAGAGAAGGAGATCTCATGTGAAAGTGAAAACAGAGCACCAGACACATGAGGTTTCCTAGTTTTGGGGTGAAAAACAGGACAAGATAAGACAAAACACCAGTTGAAGTAATACAAGCTCCAGTGCTACATGCTACATACTTTATACATGTAATACTTCAGTGCTTCAATACTAGCTGTAATTAAAATACTGAATACCGAACCTTCATACAAAGTTTTTTGTCAGAGAGCAGAGACACTGGCGGTTGGATCATCCGCTGATGAGCAACCACATCTGATGTCTCTGTAAGAGGAGGCTCAGAGCAGGAAGTCCTCGCCACAGCCAAGTTCAACTGCTGCTCTCTGCTCTCACCTCAAAAGCATGCTTGAGTCAGAAGGAGCTGTGGGGGAGGGGGAGAAAAAACTAGTTTTTGTAGCCTTGTTTCCATGTGCAACGCAGGCATTCCAAAAATAAACCACATTATAGTGGCATTCCATAGTATATTTACTATACTTTTACTATTGAGACACAATTGTTTCTGACATGTTGACAGCGTTTAATATAACCTTATAAGTATCAATGTCCATACAGTAGCTTCATCTGTACTGTAGATGCTATTTTCCAAGCTATTTTTGACATTGTTTAGAATAACTTTGTAATATTTATAACGGTTCCAAAGGCTGTTTTCACTTGTATGTACTGTAATATAAAGTATACTCTTGGCTTGCATGGGTGTCTTGCTAAATTAACTACAATTAACTTGTTAACCCCTGTTTCTTGGACTATATTTCTTTACTGTTCATATTTTTGGAGTAAATAGGGTTTTAAAATATAATCCTTCTTTCTTAATAAACAGGCACACAGAAGGTATTTTTATTAAGTTTGAAAAAAACGTTAGTAAACCTTCTTAAACTTTGTACTGGACTCCCAGGTGACTTCATCAACATTGAGCTCTAGAGTCCAGACATCACCAGCCTGAGTCTGCTCTGTGGCATCAGGCAATGGTGACCAGCATTTCCTAAGGGGAAGTGTATGCATGTTGGTTTGCTTGCCTTGGTGCACAACAGCCACCTCAGTAGCTTGCAGGGAACCTGTGAGCTTGTTACCAGCGTGCTACCAGCGACAGCTGTGTGAAATTTCCATTTGATGTTAGTTTTGCTTGTGGGGGTTATGATGGGCGCACAGCTACGAGGCACACCTTTCAGAAGCTTCCACATCGTCTTCACCACATCAAGGGCTCCAGCAGGGAGCCACACAGATCAACTGCGGGCAATTCTAGGTCAAGAGGCCAAAAAAAGTTAAAGAATTATATTTTTGGTAATAGTTATTTAATAACTAATGTGATAGTTATTAATAGTGTAATTAATGCAATGGTGTAATAATGTAATAATTTGGTAATTAATTTTTGGTTCTCCTTTTGGTAATAGTTATTTAATAACTAATGTAATAGTTATTAATAGTGTAATTAATGTAATAGCGTAATAATGTAACAGTTTGGTAATTAATTTTTGGTTCTCTTTTTGGTAATAGTTATTTAAGATTTGGAGATTTCCAAAAATCCAAACTCACAATAAGATGTAGCCAAATTAAGATGAAAATAAAGTATCACTGAGATAATCGCCATTAGCCTGCATGTGTATGGGGCACGCCTTGTAGACCAGGAATCAAACTTCTTTGAACACTTCTCAAGGCAATCATTTCCTTTTTGCAATGCAGAAGTCAAAGCTGTATCCCATATGAAGTCTGCCCATTGCAATGGATAACTCAGTGAGAGGTCTCTTTAGTCAATTCTGAAAACACTGACAAACACCAGGCATTCCAAGAATCGATTCGCTCATACCGCGCTCCATGTGAGAGTGCCCTAACTTGCTCATCTGCTGAACCTCTTTATGGTGGCCTCACTCTTAAGTGTCTCTCGGCTTGGGGCTTATTGGAAAATATGTGCCTAGTCTTATCACAGCAGGAGAGTCGAGCAAGATCGGTGGAAACAAATTAGCAGGGGAGCAGAACGATGTCAGACCGCGTTTTTCACAGCATGGTATAATTTTCCCATCTCAAGTTCACTGCTACTTGAATCCTAACTTTCCCCCCTCCCCATGCCTTCCATTTGTTTAAGGTGGTGGAACACTATGTACTGCCCCACCAACAACTTTTAATACAATCTTCCATTGTCCAGTTCTCCAGTTTTAAAGCTAAAGGCATAGGCTCCAACTTTAAGCATGTGCAGTAAGCAGTATGATGTGCAATGCGAAGCTATCTGGTACTGTTGTGTTTGTGGATGCTCTGTTTTCTGAGAGGGTGTTGTGCCGCACTAACGTAGTAGTATTTATTCGATGTCAGGGCTACTGTCGTTAATGTAGCAAGGCTCTATCCTGTTTCTCTTATCACTATGCTAAATTCAAGGTCATGCACATCAAATGAAAAGTAATGATATTCAACATTTGCAAAACTTATCTCATCCAATGCAACATTTGCAAAATCTTGTCTGTGTATCATTGTGCAAGTGCATGCTTTTCATTTGTTATTGAGTCCTTTCTCACACCACAGCTTATAAAAGTGCTGAAAAGTAGAAATGTGGAACTGTAGAGATTGAAAGAAAGGTGTGTTTAATTTGTGTTTATTTCATTTGAAGCTGTTTTTATTGTTGACTCAACGTTACTTCACCATAATTGCAGCAATTAATCGATAGACTTGATAGAAAAACAAGGCATGGGAGACAAAATAAAAACATGAAATAAACTTAGCCAAAAAAGACATGTTTAATGACTGCTGTCATTCATGTCGGAAGGGGTAGTCCGCACAGTGTAACAGAAGACAATTCTGCAATGCAAAATGACAGGTGTATCACATAGAAGACATACAGCACTGGCTAGAAACATGTTATTGTGCGGGACAGAGATGAAACTTTTAAAAGCCAGGGGAATGATGCCAAAGGAAACAAATATCAAAACTGGTCTTTACTGGTTAGATTTTATATTTTTCAGTTTGGAGCTAGTGTTTTGCACAAATAAGATGATGTATTTGGTTCAGGTTTCAAATCCAAGAATAAGTTACATACTGCTGTCCTTTTGCCTATACAGTACAAAGGATATACGTTACATTAATATCCTCCCTCTCAACTTGACATATTTGGCTTTCTGGAAGCTTCTTTGATGGTATTTGTACCTGTTTTTATCCTGTAACAGATGCTTCGATTGATTTTGAGTTTTCATCTGTGAATCTGTGTTTTTGATGTGTTTGTGTTCTCGCCAGTTTTTGAGAAATCCTCCATCAGCCTAAAACTGCCACTGAGCATCGTGGGGTTCGAGTCCCAGTCCCTGAGCTCGCCCCTTCTGTTTCTGTTAGGGGTGTTACTGCATTTAGGGAGCTCCTGTCTGTGAGCGCCAGGTTCCTGCAGGCGCTTGTAGAGATGCCTTTTAGTAAGACCTACAAAGCACAGCTGATTTGACTTTTTATCTACTTGATTAGCACAATTAGAGTCTGAGATGGAATAAAAACCTGAACTGGAAGCAGCAAGAGGACTGGAGCTGTCTCCCCCTGCCATTAAGAAGCATGTTCAGTCTCCTCTGAATCATATTTAAACACCTCTACAGACCACGTGGGGACACATTGTTCTCTGTTTAAAGTAGTGTGAGGTTGTCTTTTTCTAGGAATTTGTGAGCTCCAGTAAAGAACTAAAGTCAGACTATGTGGAGTCCAGGTCAGGGTTATGGACTGTGGTGTTCAAATCCTGGGTGAGACATTGCTGTTTTACCCATTGCTGAGATTGCTCCAGCTAAATACCCCAGGCAATGTGAATTGTCAGCTCACTAACATACAGTAATAATAACTTCACACGGACGTCTGTCTCTCCACCACTATAGACACTCTAGGCTCCTGAGGTTCTAGCCACCAATACCTGACAGTCTGTCTTCACTGGCTTGTCCACCCCTGGTTGAAGGAAAATAACTCACATCTATAAGCCATTAAAAGCATCCATTCACCAGTCCCCAGCAGCTAACAAAGACACACAGTAACTAAGTGCTTGGAATGGGGGTAGCCATGGCAACGTAGCTCCCTGGAGCATGCCAGGAGTGGCGTCACAGACAGACTCAGTCATACAGTGTGTCTGTACAGAGGGGGGGGGACTTTCAAAGCAAATAGAGTAACGCAAAAGGTCAGCTTCACAAGCCAGGAAGAGCAATGCTGGAGCAGGGGTGATCCTCACAGCAGGCTTGACCGTCTATTGTGCCTCAATATAGCAGGCAGCCCGGTGGGTTAGTACTGCAGGCTGTTTGTTTTTTTCACTTTTGATATCTCTAATCTTTTGTGCCCACTCAGTCTTAAGACATATCAATCCCAAATACAAGTGACTGTGCACCCTATTTCCAACAAGGAATGAAAGTATTGGACAGAACTAAACAGAGAAAAAGTAAACCCTTACAAAAGTGCAAAGTGCTCAACTCATCATTATAATTCATTGTTGATTGTCTTTTCTGATGCCATTATCTAATAAGACATAGATTTAAAACAAGTGCTGCACTGTAAGATGACGCAGAATCTCCACATTTCCAAACTAAAGATTTACAAATCATGGAGAAAGCAGTATTTATATACAAGTAGTACACAGTGAGTTTACACCCACGTAAGAGACTGTGTAAAAAACATTTTTCAGTGAATTCTGAGTTGCAGTAAATGTTAGAATTCTGGCCTGTTATTTCACTCTTTACTTCCTGAAACAGTTGCCCAGTTGATGCTAAAGAACTCCAAAGTAAAACTGACATCATTTATTAGTGCACTGAACAGTCCAGTCTAAGCCCTCGACATCTTAAATGCAACAAGTATCAGATACGTGTTTAAAATTATTCTAAATGAGTTTTTAAGACATTGAAGGAATTGAGTCTGATCCTCCTGTTTTAAAATGTACTCTTTAAGAGACAAAATGCAATTACCCAGTGTTATCACCATAGTCTCTGGTGTGTACAGTTCTTCACACTTCTGCATTTGTATTCTTGTATTTCAGAAGGATTCTATCAGTTATTATAGTGATGTTATGCGATTTCTTTGTGCCCTTACTGTCGTAGAGGGACAAAAATTAGAAGCTGTTCTCACTCCAGATTTCTCTGGAAAACTAAGTGTTCTGCACAGCACAAAAATCGCTGTAACTACTGACCACCAAAACTATTGATCTTCAGAAAGATCTGCTCTTCAGGCTACAGACTGCTATAGATTTTGAAAAGCATTCAGCTTCCAACAGAGCTTGATGTGGATTCCTACAGGAATTCTTAAATGATTTCCAATAGAGACAGACACATCCATATACAGATTTGATCTAAATACAGTACATGTGTATTTTTTATATACAGTACTGTATGTATTGCCTTTGGTTTCCAAATGTGGAAATGAAGAGTGCTATTAATACCATCTTTACTAATGTACACCAAAAACAAAATGCAAAAGTGGGTCAAACTTGCTAAGTTTGTGCTTCAGTGCATAGTGTGCACCAGATATATGTCTGACTATAATAGTATAATATCCTGTTTCAGCTGTAGCTATAAGTAACTGAGTAGTGTGCCGAAGTTTGGCTTTTGTGGTTTATTTCCTGTTTTGAAATGCTGACAACTTGCTTCAAATAGAAACACACACACACATAAAAAACACATTGTATCTATACACCAGTGCAAAGCACTGTATCTCTTTGCAATAGCTGAGATTGCCTGCAAGTTTTCAATATCTTGCTTAGCGACGTCAGGGATTGTGAAGCGGAACAGAGACCAAAGAAACAATGTTCCACCAGAACTCTATCTTTGGACCACTTACTATTACACTAACTCATCAAGATACAGCTCTTCCATGTGCCACTGAGCTGAGGACAGATCTCATCTGCAAGTCTTGGAGATGATTTCTAAAGACTGGGGGGAGTCTCAGACATTAATTGACGATTTTTAATCATGCAGAAATAGTGCACATTGTACTGCTTTAGCAACACCACGTTGCATGAGTGTGTGAACTTGCATTAAGATAAACGCTTTTCATGGAGTTGGCTTTATAGGATCCCTAACACCCCCTAATTCCTAGGGATATTTTTTGCTTGTTTTTGCTCTATGAACTCTTCCTCATGCTACAATGTTCTCTGCCTTTCAGTTCGCCACCCTGACATTGAACACACTGTTCTTCCCAAGGTGACGACAGCTTTACCTCCCTCGTTGTGAATTCCAGCAGGTTTTTATCTGAAACGCACATGCTTTGCCTTGGCCTTTTCTGAACCTGTTTCCATGGCGTTTGAAATTGTTTCAACTGAATGGATGTTTTGATGTGATTCTGTTCAGAAACATATGAACATATATTATTTTTCTCCAGCTGGGTTGGCACTATCTGTGCTTTCATTGTGTGCTTGCATGCAGTTGTCACTCCTTTCAGTTGTCTTAAACCTGCAGTATCTCACAGGAATGGCTTTCAAACATTAGACCAGAGTTGGTGGGTAGTGATTAGAAGGAGCCTTGCTTCGGTGATTTTAAAACTACAACATACTGTATCTTTGTGTCTGGGGACCAACAAATAGAAGGTGTCTTTTAGTATTTTCTCCTGACTGCTCTCTTCTCCTTTAGTGATTTTAATGATGCATATGTATATCATTTATTCAAATATGAAAATCGTATATGCCATGTGTTCAGAAATGTTTTTTTTTTCTACCTATAAGCAGAAAGTAGAATCTATGTGTCACCTGTAATGAAGAAAGGTACTGGACTTAATACCAGGACTACATCTAGGGATATTTATGGTAATCAGGATTTATATCGTCTATTAAAATACTGCTGTTGTTTGCATGCAGTTCCTAAGCCTACATCTGGCTGGGTTTACAAGTTAATTTGGCTGTTGCCCAACAAAGCAATGTTATGTAATGAAATATTGTAGGTAGGTAGATCGTTCCCTTTTCGGTCCCTTTTCAGGCCATCAAGGCCCATGGGGAATGGGCCCCCATTTTTCTCAACCATGGAGGTGGAGGTGATGAGGTCAGCATCACGCTCCGGCCGGCCTATCGCCCCCGGAAGGATTAACCCCCGGTACTCCCTTGGAAAGCAGGCTGAGTGGACCTGGGAGCTGTCTGGAAGGAATTAGAACAAGCTCCATCACTTGCCCCTACCTGGGACTGAACCCGGGGCCATGAAATATTTAAATTACAATTAAGAGTAATAAATGACCTAAACATGTATTGGGCAGATACTTTCAGGAGGAATTTAAATCAGGTAGTATTTCAAATGTACAATGAACTACATTTTACACAGTAACATCCAGCTTAGAATAGGGTAGAGAGTTGTGGCTGTGTAACTGAGAGGGTAATCAAGTATGGACACAACCTCCTGTCGTGGGAATAAGCAATTGTCCGATACTGAAAAAAAGGAACATAATCTCTTGAGGTTTGACCTGAAATAATTACAAGAGAATATTTCACAAAAGCTGCTGAATTGCTTTAGTTTTTAAAGTGAAATACCCTAGAAATCCACTAAAAGACATAGATATAAATCCCTGCATTTATACAGTAAATTTAATACAGTGCATTATACTGTTCGTACATTACATAAAGATCATCATGGCCTGAAGAGTGTGATGCTTTCATCATCTGCTTTGACCAATTGCAAGACCTGAGTCCTACAGAAATCCTTGAACACGCAGTTCAGTCCCACTCATCACAATCCTCCTCCTATCCCTCAAAGTCAGTCCTACTGGAGGAATCTGATGAGTTTGGGCTACTAATACATCAGAACCTGGATGGCTGTGTGCTGTATCTCGCCCAGTTCCACCTGTTCTTGCTGTGCACAGAGGGCCAGTGCTATATTTGGTGAAGGTTTCTAGTGTTTTGACCACAAAGTATCACAGTTTTTTTTTTATATTTACTATGAGGTACACCCATGTGAAACCTAGCTGTCCTGTACAGTATATTTTTAAAGTTCTATTGGTAAGACTGCCCTTGTGTGTTTGGACTTCTGACTCCCTGCATGAGCTAGGTAATGTGCTCTACATTTTAATTTCAGTTTCTGCATTATTCTATACACTGATCCACAACCATCATTTTCAAAGGAGGTTTGTGGGGAATAATACAGCCAGCTGCTGTTGATACAGGTCAGGGAGATTACCACAGATTAAATGCTGGTATTTATCCAGTTACAGTCTAGTTTGACATTTTCTTACTGTAGATTAAACGTGGAGGTAAAATCCTGGATGAGACCTGGTGTACCCTTTCCAATCAAAAGGAGATGAAATTGTTTTGGATCCATCCCAACAAACCCTTTCATTTTTGTACCATTAAGGAAGGTTAGACTGGTCTAACATGCCTGCCTTTGATGATGTTGCTCTAAGCATGCATTTTGTGTGAATAAGATCATTATTATTGTTGTTTGAAAAAGTTTGGAATAGGTTCTTTGCAACTGTTACTGGCATGAAATATTGTCCCACTCTAGTGTAGGTATGTTCATAAAAAACACAGCCAGGGTCTACATCACACGAACAGCTGTCCAAGCAAACGCCATTTCTTATAAAAGCCTGGGGACGAACAGGAGTGGCTGTGGCAATGAAACTAGACATACCTACTGTACTAGAACCTTAATCCTTACCCTTCATTAACCTATAACTGCTTCCCCTCTGAGGGATCTGAGGGATCAACACTTTCTACCCATCTCTCAGTTCTAACCCCTAACAGTTTGCCCAGCATCTGACTCTTAACTTTACATTGTCTCCCCATGCTGTTTTGCCTATTGCCAGTGTCTTGGAGCATTGTACACCATGAGCCTTTCCATTACCTGTATGAATCTACTAGGTATGTGTTTTTCATATGTCATGCATCTAGTACACTTTACTGAACTTGAAACACATGTCACACCCACAAGCTGGAGAAAGGCAAGCAAGGACTGAATGGCAGTCAGCTCTTAGTAAGATGGCAAGCAATCAGGGGGAAATGGGGGCATGTTGTTTGAACCCCACTTCTTGCTCTTTGGGCAAAGAGGACTTGGTTTGACCCCCAGTTGTATGAATGGAGAAGAAACACAAAATGAACTGCTGTCAGAGAACCGCCAGAGACTCTTCACATAATAATAATTAATTAATAATTGCTTATACAGTACATATAAAGAGCTTTTCTGGACACTCCACTCAAAGCACTTTACAGGTAATGGGGACTCCCCTCCACCACCACCAGTGTGCAGCCCCACCTGAATCACATGTCTCAGGCAATAAAATGCATCCACAGACTGCTGTTAAGACACATCAGTTATAACAGAGAACAGCTGGCCCCAGCGAACACATGGATGTGAACCGGTGAGTCATCAACACAGCCTCACCAGTTGACTTGCGTGTTCCTTTTTTATACATTTAATTTGTGGCTGAAATGTGATCTCGCCCCGGCTGGGATTATGTGCTAATTCTCAGAGGTAGCCAGCAGAGATAAAACCTGTGATACAGACAATGGCCCAGGCCGAGCAAGAGCACCCCTTTAATCCACTGCTGTTTGTAGTTTTATTTGCTTTACTAAACCCAGGGATTGGCGTTGATGAAGCAGGTATTAGCACCGCTCATCTTCTGAGCTCCACTAGCCTTGTTTTCCCATGCCAGATGATATCGGAGGGAACCAGAGGGTGGCGCTGTGGCCAAGACATGGCAAACAGTTTCGATTTTAAAGAGGGATAGAAGTTGAAAGAAGTGCAGAAGTGCAGTTGCTCTTACTGTATATGTTAATGGTCACAGTTCTTGACTTGTGACTCAAGACTTGACCTCAGTTCAGAATTGATCAATTCTTTTACTCCAGTCTTGAATGAATTGACATGAATGTTGAGTCCATTCATAAGAGATAATAAAAGTCTAGTTATGGCCTCTGGATTCTAAGGATTTTAGATATGGGTTCCAGATCTTGTTAAGTCTAAAAAATAAACCTATCCCAAATGGATTTTCACAAATAATTCAGGATATATAATAATGTAATAATCATGGTTGAAAACGCAAATATTACTCTGACAGGACCCTAGAACTATATAGAAGCCTGACTTTTAGACTGGGATGTTGGGACTTGAGTCACTTAACACAAGCGACCTGAATGTTAGGTGTGTTCAATAAATGAAAAAAATCAGAGAATTGGATCAACAATTTTCCCTTGTGATCCCTGTGTGACCCCTCAGTAGCTGCTACCCAGCCCCAGAGCTCAGGCTGGTGAAGAGATCATGCTGGACTCTCAGATGTCATTTCAAGAGACAGTGAAATGGCTGCAGCTTAATGCAGAGAGACAAGCTGTCTGCAAGAGACACTTCTAGCTCCTCTACTGCATTCATCCCTAATGATCTTCCCATTCAGAGCAATTCCAAAACAGATCAGGTCTTATTATGAGCTGGTTTTTAATTAGAGAAACACATGCCAGTAACTAATAAACAGATTAATTGCCAATGAAAGTGGACTGAGTAAATTCACCTGAATGTCATTCCCACACATTAAGGCCAGTGTAATCAAACATTAATCTACAGCCCCCTTGACCATTTCCCATTCACAGTCTCTCTTATATTGTAAAATTGATTTTCTCTTGGAAAATAAACAGGGCAGGGACTGTTGTTTATGCGATTGAAGGTTTAAATGTGAAATATCCTCACATACTGTACATAAAAAACACAGATTCGTTTTAGTTGACTACTTAAAGCCTCCCCCTGGAGTGTAAGATGAGCACAGTTAAGTGCAGAGATGTTAACTCCTGGCTAAATTGCACTCAGCTTATACAATCTAACTTTCCTACTGGTAAACTCACTCCTCCACCTGGTCTACAGTGGGGCTACTGGTGCAGAATGGCTGCTGTACATCACCCTGGCTGAGCTGCCAGACGTTGTTTAATACTTCAAAGGCTATGGTAGCAGTAGTAATGACAGAATACCTTTACTATTTAAAGTACAATATTCATTGTTATCTTCCTGTGTCTTTTTTGTACAGTATTTGAAAGAGGTCCTACACCAGTGCTGTTCATACCTTCCTTGATAAGATGAATCAGAGTTGAAGCATGATGTCTTTGTTTCTTGTATAACATGCAGATGTCAATTAATGACATTGAATTGCGTAATAAATCCAGCCCCAAGGGTATAAATCTAATGCGATTTAAGATATAGTACCCCTGTCTCACTGTGCCTAACTGACCTGTATGTGTAATAGCTAATATGCACACTTTTTAAGTGGTGATGTCTTTGGTTCTTGGATAACATTGGATTTTGTAGAAATGAATCATAACTCTTAATTGTGACTCCTTAGGGTTATTCTTTTTCTCTCTTCTGAATACATAAAAATTTGATAAGATGAGTCACATGATAATAGCAGGAAGTGAGGATAGTTCCAGATTTTCACACAAAATGGAGAAGCACTCTGAGCCGTGTGTTTTGTCTCACAGCTGCCCTGTTTTTCCCTAAGCTACGGGGGTCCAATCCTGGTACTAGTGGCCATTGAGTCTCCAGGGTTTCCAGGTCTCTTCAAAGCAGCAGTATTTCAAGAGCTGGGAGAAGCTGTTCAGCTGGCCCAGTCAAGTCAGTAACCAACTGGTTTATCTCATCAAGAGCTGAGCTGGACTGAAAACCTAAGTAAATAAACCCCCCACCTCCCTCCAAAAACGTACTGGTAGGCTAATTGGCTTCTGGGAAAAACTGGCATGTTTGTGTCTATGTGTACCCTGCAATGGACTGGCGTCTAAAATAGGGTGTATCCTGCTTTGTGCCCATTGCCTGCTGGGATGAGCTCCACCCCTCCATTACCCTGTAATGGATGAAGCAGTTAGGAAATGGACCTACTGTATGCATTTTAACTACTTGGCATCTTATTGCTCCAGTTTACTAACTTGTAGGCTGTTTATTATATAAAGTCCCACCTCACTCTTTTCATCTCAGTGTCTTTAATTTAATGGACAATGTGGGAGTAACCTAGAATTTCTTCAGGCGCTCAAAACCATTAATTCTTATCACTATTAGTCAAACCCTACGACAACTAGTGGGGCCTGGCCTCACACTGACTCCAGACAGCACTGGGTAAATTGGTCTCAATGAAGATAATGCCTGAAGGATATTTCTGTTCCTCTATTAAGACTTTTAGAAATAGTTTAGACATATAGATGGATTCCTAGATAAAATCAATCACTTAACAGCTCATTTCTGTCCTTGTCAAAAAGTCAAATAAATGCGTGACTTAGTAATTGTTAGGTATTTAAAATAAAAAATGATACTGCAAGTAAGAAATTTTTTATTGGTCATTGCACTTTAAATCTACTCCCCATTAAAGGTGCAAAGTTGGCACCTGTCCCTATTGATCAGTGCTCAGTTGCTGAGTCTTTTAAACCAGCTGTCCTGAATGGCCAAAGGCTAAGATTACTGGTGCTTAGGGGCAGTGAAAGGTGGAGAAAAGACAGACTTTGTGCCAAAGTGAGAGGGTCTCATAATTGTGTGGGATACCGTGATGACTGGATAGTTTGGTAACCCAAACATCAGTGCATCCACTCAGTGACCACTCTCATACTACTGACTTTGTATAACTCTGCTCAGCTTTTCTAGAACCCTGATAGGGCTGTTTTTATTTCTTCACAAGTTTTATACTTGCTCAAAGACTCAGGAAGGACAACAAGTACCTTCTGGTGTTGAACCAGAATTGTGTATGGACATTTGCAAGTTCATTGGAAAATACTGAATAAAATGACAACTTAGAAAACTAAAGGAAAGTTTGCAAAATGTCCTTTTCCCATTTTGTACTTGGTTGTGGGTTAAGTTGTTGCTCAGTAGAAAAATAAACATAGGGAAAAAAGGCAAGGATTACAGGTTTCAGTTCTTTTATTTATAACAGCAGCTCTAATTAAGGTTTTTGCCTGGAGCAGCAAAGTGCTGTGTCAAGCTCTGCTTGAGTGTGATGGACTCTGGGTGAGCGATTGCACTTCTGGTTATTGCAGGCTTGAGTTGTCAGTGTCAACCACCAGGGATGAGGTGAGTAAAACCAGACTGGGATGAGGAAGAGACAAGGCTTAGTAACTAGGGAGCATTTAGTACACCTTGTTTTTCTCTGTTGTCTCAGGACACTAGTATTTATGGCAGAGAATTTCTGGTTAAATGTCACATTCCTGCCAGCTCTTTCAAGATTAGAACAGCAAACTGAATTCAAAGTAAAGCGAATGAATATTTTTGTTTGGTGTCAGGACCATATCTTTCTTTCTAGTATGATACTGCAATATGTGCATATTATTGAATAGGTCTATTACAGCATTAGTCTGGTAACAGCATGCTGTTCTTCTTGGTCTGGTGGAGGTTTGTTCTTGGGGTTTCGACACAGAACTCATCGGCAAGATTCTGGCAGCTTTTTCATTTTGCCTCACACACCAGGCTTTATTTGCAAACTTGTGTGAGTCAACTACTTTTCTCTTGAAAGATGAGAAACTAATTTCTGATCTTTCATTTTTGTTTTTTTAAAAATGGCTTCTTTAAATCGTAAAATAGCAGCTCCTGTACCTTGAAACTCACACAAGTTTGTTGGTTGGTCGCATGAACAGGGGTCCCCTGATTTTAGCAGCAGGGTCCTGGTGAAGAAGTGGTGTGGGAGACAGCCCTTCTACTGGCGTGATTACTGGGAACTGGGGGGGTGTATCATTGCTTCTTATGTACGTTTTGTTTTTCACTTCCTTCCTCATAACCTCCTACACAACTGCTACAGCGAGTGTTTATATTGGCAGCTAAACAGCACTGTAAATCAGTCTGTGAGCTCACTGAAGGTTTTCTGGGTAAATATTTTACCAAAAACTGCATTAGTGACTACATACCACTTACATAGAGCTCTGCTTATGAATGTGGCATGATATACTGTATGATGGCGGAGACACAAAATAAAAGTTTAAGCTTTATCTTTTATTTTTATTTTTTTGTTTCGTGGAAAGACAAAGCTTTGACAACCCATCCTGGGTCTCTAGACATATTGTCCAAGATTATTACCCTTCAGCGAAGGCACCGTAGTGTGAATTTCCCTTAATTGTCTATAACAGCCCCCGAATAAGTTACTCAGCCGAGCTGAATTCATTTCTCCAAAAAATAAAAAATGAAAGGCATGTTATTCAACTAAAATAAAAACAAATTGCTTTGACATGATTATGGCTTTTCTAAAAAAAAATAGAATTCATTTTCGTTTCTGTGTCTTGCATTTGAAGAGAACGTCTCAAAATAGAGTGCATTTCTGTGTGAAATAAGAACTTTCTCTTTCAGTGGAAAGATGTTTTATGGATTTAATTATGTGATGTGCTGTAGATCTATGAAGTCCTATAAACGCCCACCTTATCCTGTAGCATGAATAGAATCAAAATGCTTTGATATCAGGAAGAAATCTTTTGTACAGTAAAAAAAATACTTTTGCATTTTTTAAAGTATTTATGCACATTTAAACTGGTGTACCATCCAGTCTGTATCCTTGCATACCTGGATAGGCTCCAGGTGACCTTGTATTGGATAAAGCAGTTAAAAAATGGATGGATGTGTATACATTTACCTTTCATGTGACATGCAGGAAATGTGACTAAGCCCATAAAAGGTTATTTGTTTTCAAATTTGATTTGCTTTTTTATATGGCTATACGCCCATGTCCTTACCTGACTCTCAGATACCACTCTGTTCAGTAGAGACAACAAAATTCAAGAATGAAATGCAATGTGAAAGTTTGGATCATTGGGTGGGATAGGTTTGGCTTAACTTGTCTGGTTGATGAGGTCGAACCCCATTCAGACTGAGTGAACCAGGGGGCAGCTGCAAGGTGGAGGGGGGGTGGAGGAGGGATGCTGGAGACAAATGTAAAGGGAGGTGTTTGTGTTTGATATATATAGATAGTTTCCGCAAAGATTGATTAGGAACAGGTGCATGAGATTGACGTGTCATGTTGGCCCTCCCGAATGTCAGTTAATAACTTCCATTCAGTGGTTTCTAAGTCCAGACTATGGGGGTTGTGCTGAATTACCAACATTGTGGTTTTGCTCTAGAAGCTGATGTCTTGTCATTCTCTTGACAGTTCCCGGAGGGCTCCAAATCCAGGAATGTCAGCGCCCACCAGCCTCTAGCACAGCCGGATGCAGAATTGCCTCGGTTTCAGACGATTTCTTGGGAGTCCCTCACCATGGTCATAGCTGTGTTAAGATTATAGACCCCCTGTGGAAGACTTGGGGGGTAGGGAGGAGGACCGGTTTCTGCACAAGGGGGTGTTTGTTGACTGGCTGACGGCTGGGGAACCATGTAGTGGACCTTTCTGTGGGGGGGGCGGGCGATTTTTTTCTGGGTCAAGATGGTTCTGTACACGTTGCCCTTTTCTAGTGCCTTCCTGAGAGTTCTTCACTGTTTCGCCTGGGGCCTCATTTTCCCCTGCTATTGGCTCCTGGATCGGCTGCTGGCCTCCTTCCTGGTTACCACCTATGAGAAGAGGCAGCGCTCAGAGGACCCCTGCTACTTCTTGGCCTTTTGCATCTTAATCTCTACACCGGTCTACCTGGTGCTGCTGGTGGCATCCCTGCCTTTTGCCTTTCTGGGCTTCTTGATCTGGGCCCCATTACAGGCTGTCAGGCACCCCTACATCTATTCCAAAAGAGGACGGCCCGACAAGAATCGGGCAGAGCAAGGCACAGCCGGGACACCAGTGGGCGAGTGGAAGGCTCAGGGCAAGAGTTTTTGCTTTTGCACTGCAAATGCGTGCCTCCTGCCTGACTCGCTGGCCCGCTTCAACAACCTCTCCGACACCCAGGGGCGGGCCAGGGAAGTGGGCAAGAGGATCCGCAACGGAGCCAGCCGCCCACAGATCAAGATCTACATTGACTCTCCCACCAACACGTCTATCAGCGCGGCCAGCTTCAGCAGCCTGATTTCGCCACAGGGCGGGGGGGAGGGCCCCCAGCGGGTGGCTGGTGTCCGCCGTACCTCCTCTCTGGAGTACAAAGTGGAGAGCAATGGGGAGGCTGAGAAGGAGCAGGAGGAGGGGGGTAACCGGGATGAGGAGTGTGTGCCGCTCAATGACTGCCCCTCTGGCGTGCAGATCAGCATCAGTGCTCCTGAGCCAGAGGGCGAGGAGGACCAGAAGGGTCAGGCTGCCAACCACAAGCCCAAGGAGGGCGACTCAGGCAGCCTGGACAGCAGGACAGCCTCCCGGGAGTCGCTGGTGAAGTTCCACGTGGCTGATGGGACCCTGTCCAATAACAAACTAACGTACCACACCTCTGTGCTAAAGAAAGCCTCCGCGAGGAAGCGGCGCCACGGAGACGACTCGTTCGACCACGAGATCTCCGCCTTCTTCCCTGCCAACCTGGACTTCCTGTGCCTGCAGGAAGTCTTCGACAAGCGGGCAGCAGGAAAGCTAAAAAGGCAGCTGCACCGCTACTTCCAGTACATTCTGTACGACGTGGGCCGGTACGCCTGGAAGGGCTGTTCCCGCTTCAAGTTCCTCAATAGTGGGCTGCTGCTGGCTAGCCGGTACCCCATCCTGGACGCCTCGTACCACTGCTACCCAAACGGCCGTGGGGAGGACGCTCTCGCGGCTAAGGGGGCGCTCTTCGTTAAGGTAGGTCGTAACGTTGTGGTCTTTCTGCTTGAACTGGGCAAAACACATCTGGCTTTTTCTGGTGAATGTTTTTTGTTGCTGAGGCATAAGAGCTGGAGGGAGGCCTTGTCATCAGCCTGAGTAGAGATGGCAGGTGTGTAGCGTTTCTGTGAAGATGAGGCGCTGAAGTGAGTGGTGGGAAAATGGAGCACCTCCATTGGGTCTGAGGATGATCATTTAGGGAACAAATAGCAGTCTGTTTTTGTAAGCATGGATAACCATAGTTTTATAAATAAATATAATGTTGTCTGCAGGGTAATGATGATAAATTTCCAGTTATTCAAGTGCTGGTCCTAATTATCAGAACAGGTGCAAGAAATGACGGTTCGTGTGGGAAACCCAAATGGGACTCAATCAATCACGTTCTTTGAATCTAATGGGCTCTGGATTCGTACAGTCCTGATTCTGGACATCTTCTTCTGGGGTTAACTGCTGCCATAGTGTTGGCGAGCGGAATGTCGTGCAAATATTACCTTAGTACTTAACAAAATATCCTTCTTTCTTGATCATTTTCTATACGCTTCTCAAACCAAATAACTAACTCCGGACCTTAAAAGTCAGTCCTAAACACTAAGTTCATTTTTAATAATGTCACCCTCCTGTAGATGCCCTTGTGTATTGCGATGTTGAAATAATATTGAGGAAATAAATATGGAAGCTTTACGTTTCTCAACATTAAAACCAGTTAACTGTGAACAATAATTACTGTTCCACTCCCCACCAATTAAGTAGGATTATCTTCCTTGTTAATTAATCGATCCATTAGCTGTTTCAGCAGCGCTTGGCTTTCCCCCCAGTTTGTCCTCCCTGGATCTGTCGCTGCACAGAGATAATTTCAAGCACAGCAACAGGAAGAGGGTCTGTCTGAACCATCTGCTCCCCTCTACACCATTTCAGGCATTTTGGATTTTTATTCTTCAGTTTCAAAATTTTCTGGATCTGAAAGGCAGAATATGTTAATGGAATAACAAACAGAATAAAGGGGAAGCTTTAAAGAGAGTTTTAAAGCCTCACTGTACACGTTCTGCAATGTTTTATGTTTTAATTGCTTAGCATCAGTCAAGGAGATTGTGCTGCAAATTACCACTCCTGTTAACCTGGACAGAGACTTTAAGACATTCACTCACTCAGGATATTTTAGCAAATAAAATATGTGAGATTCCAAGAAATGTCCTCCTTCCCTTACTTTTCCAAATTTGTTCTCAAATAATATAGAAGATTAAATTATGTTATGGTTGTTTTTCCACATCAGGGATGGTAGAAATAATAAAATACTTTTTTTAATTTCTCCCAAAGGGGTCAAAGGGCAAATTATATGGCGCTGTAGTTAACTAACATGGTAGTTACTGACTCCGAGCTACAGTATGTTGATACTATTCAGTGTGGTCATAACGCCTTCAGGCTCACTCCGTTTGCGTATTCAACTTAAATTTCCCTCAGGGGGTATAGGAATTTCTCACTTTTCCAGCAAGTGTGCTCTGTAATGGAGTTGCTGGTCTAGAAAAGCATCACCTAGGTTATGCGGCATTTCAGAGGGGAATGAAGTGAGTCCTTTCCTGTGTATAAGAAATGGGATCTATTTGGAAAAAGGGAAGGCAGCAGTTCCCCAGTTTTTGCCATCAGTAAAATGTTAGGATGCTCAGGACCATCCCAGCAGCCCCACAGGTAACAGCTAGTGAGAGCAAACTAATATAGCCCCCACACAATGGCCTGAGCTGAACACATAAACCAATGCTGTTATTCCATCCAAACTACTGACGATCAATAAGAGATCATCTTCCTGTAACCATCAACAGGCTCCAGCCTTTCTCAACGTGTTACTTGTTCTCAGAATTTCTCGGGATGAAGCAGTGTCACCTTTAGCGGGGAAAGTGTTTTGACAGAATGTGACAAGGCCAGCGCGAGGTCCCCCATTAGACAGCAACAGCGCTGCAGCTGTTCGCTTCCATCGGAGACTGCCGGTGCCCCTGCCATCTTCTCCCACATCAATGGATTCCGGGTGCTGATGTTTCTTGCGCTGCAGCAGGGGTCAGGATACTGAATTAGATAAGAGGCTTTCAGCTGTCCATGCCTGGCCAACACCTTAGGGGCACTGCATGACCTCAGTGAAGTCTGCCTTTACCAGGCCCACTGCCGCATAGAAAGGCTCAGAAGGTCAGGCCAATTCCTATTTAATTTCAATGCTAGGAGATGAAATATAATTTAAAACATTTCCCTGAAGGTCCCTTGCATACAGAATACTTGCATATTTGCATCTGACAATTCACCTTGATGTTTCCTAATTTTCATTTAAATCGGTTTAGAAGGTTTGCAAATCCAGACCTGAGCAGTGCCCCCTCCGCTCCGTGTACTGCGTGTGCGTCTGACACGCAGTGTATTGGCTTACGTCGCTATTCTAATCATGATGTTCAGTTTAGGCGCGGCAGCTTTTCCGCAGACACAGGGATGATATATTCTTGTTAACGGCGGCAGCAGCATTTAACCCCTTCGAGAAATTTGTGTCCCTGACTATAAAGGTTTATCATTTCAAATAAAATAGGTCAAGACTCAGGAGGCTATAAAAATCCATTGTGGAATTTAATCAATTTGTAAGTGCAGAGAAGCTTTACAGTATTTAACCACACACAACTGGTGTTACTGCCTTATCTTTTCTTGCGAGCACTGACTAGAGAATTTGGAAAGCCTCAGAGATAGAAGGGAAACTAGGACGCACAGAATAAGACAGACCCCCACATAGAAGGGAAACGTACAGAACTCTGTTTAGAAGCAGCTGCCAGTTTAGGTGGCAGACCTCTGGTCAGACCAAGGGCGAAGCCCTGTAGCACACGGACTCCAGCGAGGACGTCTGTGGGGCGCGGGGCTGCTCATCTCGCAGACACCTGTGAGCAGGACACCTTGAGGAGCGGAATGCAATCACCCGGGCACTGGCGAGGTCAGACATTCCCAGCTCGCTGCGTGTCAGGGAGCCCTGTGGTTGGCCGAGGGCGGTCAATCCTTCATGCAGGAGCACAGCTGTGCGCTTAGCAGGGTGGGCTTGGAGGGTGGGGAGGGTGTGAGGGGGGTCGGACAAGGCCCACTCTGCGGGGCACCTGTACAGTTTGTTGTCTTCATCGTCTCCCGTATCGGCTTTGTGGCAATAAGCTCTGTTATCAGGTTGTCTCACACCGGAGAGCATAAAATGAAAAATAACGGATGATTCAAAATTGTGAAGTAAAAAAATCTATACAAATACATATACATATTAAACAGATTGATTCTACCGTTTACTGAGATGTGGAATACAACATATATCAAACTAAGTGGAACATTTTGGAGACAATATCTTTGTTCTAGTAACATCAGTCAAATTTAGATGTGGTTATAAAATGTTATTAAATGTTCTGCTTAAAATAGTGAATAATTTTGTAGAATCAAAAAAGATTTTTCATTCTAACTCATAAATTTTTGTACTCCCTCGGTTTTACAGATTAAAAGGAGGAAGGGTTATTATTGCTGAATTTCTGCTACAAGTTTTTTTGTTCATCCTAAAAATACTGTTAGTGTATATGAGTACATACAGTATATGTGAAAAATTGCAATCAACATTGTCAATGAAAATTGTTTCTGTGCCTTTCTATTCATACACAACCTCTTTATTTCATGGATTGTTAATATAGTGTATAAAATTCACTAAAGCATATGAAACAAAAACAACACCTATTGTGAATGATTGACCTATCCCTATAGCGCACCATTGGTATTCCTGAATTTTACATCTATAGTATGTTCTGTTTCTTTTTATTTTTTTATTCGTAATTGCAGGCCAAGCCTGATAGTTTTTATTTCCCATATAAAATTCCCCTTTCGCAGATTTTGTTAATTCAATCTGAAGTCTGTTAAACCGAGATTTTACTCTACAACTGCTTAGATGGCTAAATGAAGAGACAATGACAAATAATATTAGCTTTCCAATCACAGATTGTTTTCCTAAATTGCTGGGCTAAATTAATGCCATACAGTATGATACAGTTTGTATTATTAACAGTGATGATCTAGATGTGCAAGATCAATCATTTTATAGTTAAGAATGTGTCAAGATAACAGAAATGCACGAACTATAAATAAAATGAGATAAAAAACATGAATACATGAATAGCTCATTGGGCATAATGTTATTTATATTTTAGATAGTGAGCAGGCAGATTTGTTGATTGAATAGTATTGATGCATGGGATCACAAAATATTACATCGATTTAATGTACTGTAAAAACAGTGGCCCAGTCTTTCATATCTGAGTTGAATTAAAATAGCAAATGACCAAAATGAATTATTTAAGAAACTATAAATAAGACTTAAAAAAATGTAAAATGATTTTAATTAATGCAGCATCAGGGAAAGAAATAGCCATGCCTTCTCGAGTAATAAAGCTCACGCGGTTGCCATCAGCATGATTGAAGGCAGCCTTTCTGTGAGAGTTGTTGTACAGGGACTAAGATGTTCTGCCTCGGTAATAAGCAGATGGGAGAGCTCAGGAAGGGACACATCCTGCAAGGCAGGGGACCATCTCACCAGCCTTAAACCATCACCTCAGTCTGACCCATCCGCGGAATTGTTTGCAGACTTCAGTGCCTCCGCCGCACGAAATTCCAGGACAGAACTTGAGTGTCAGCAGAGTGGCTGTAACTCTACATGAAAGACCCTTCAGAGGTTGCATGTCATCAGCTGAGAGATGAAATCGCCATCTGCTGTAGTCCAGGGAACATCAGAGGTGGCAGCAGAGTGGGGAGTGGAGTGTTTTAGTCATCACTGTGCCTGTTTTCTGTGATCAGCCACCTTTTATCAGAAAGAATGGACACCCCACAGCAGTCCGTCCAGAGGCTGGTCAGGTGTCACGTACTTCTAGGTTTGATGTTCCAGCACATCTCAAAGGTGTTGGAAAATACATTTAAGATACCGTGCATAAGTTTAAACCTGAATATTG